GCGCAGATCCTGGGTGCAAGACATCCTGGTTGTCCAATGTGGGGCCGCGGCAGGTCCCCGGGCTGGGGACCCGGTGCAGTGGCTCTAGGATGGTCGGTCCCACCGGGGGACAGGAGCTGTCCAGGAGCCGCCCGGCCGCCAAACGCTGGCCCCGGCTCTGGCCACCTGGCAACCAAGCCTAGCCGCGCTGCCCTGCCCCGCTGGCCCCTGAGTGCGCCCCAGGCCGCGCGCACTGCACCCTGGCCGGACCCTCTGGCTATAGGGTGCTGCTGGACATTGGCGAGCCTGGGGGGAGGGGGAGGGGTAGGGAGGCGGTGGCGGGCAGCCGGGGTGACCACCCGGCCCATGCCAGGGGCCCATCCCTGGCGCCTCCTGCCCGGCAGTGGCCGCTGCTCCAGGGAGAGCCCGAGGGACACCACCTCGCCAGGGCCTGTATCTGGGGGAAGTTTCTGGGACTCCGAAGGGCAGGCGGGAGGCCGGCGCCCTGCCCGGGCCCTGGGGAGAGGCTGGGTGCGGGAGATGCCTTGGAGCCCATTTGGGCTCAGCTTGGGGGTCGCAGCTCTGCGGGGGCTGGCCCAGAGCGTGGAGGGGGGCGCGGGGAGCAGGCGGGAGCGCGCTTGCCAGATCTGGACTTTCAGAGCTCTGCAGACCCCTGGGGCTTCAGGAAGGCAGCTGCATGGTAGCACGGGGCAACGGATTGGGAAGTTGGATGAGGCTGGAGCTCGTGAGTCTGGGCCCGTCGCAGGTCCTGCTCCGCCTCCTTGCAGGGACAAGCCTGAAGACGCTTATGTCCAGGGGATTCTGCTGTGCACCCTCCCATCTGCGGCTGTGCGGGCTGTCCAATATCGTCCCTGTGGTGAGATGTGGGACAAAAGTGGGCACTTTGGGCTACTTTCTCCTCTGCAGAGCCTCTGCCTGTGTTTGCTCAACCCTGTGTGAGTGCAACGGGTTCCCCAAAGGGAATCAAGGGAGATGCTTTGGGTGGGAACTTCTGGTGCCTGGAGGGCCCTATGCTGTGGGAGCAGGGCCAGTCTTCTCTAGGTGGGCCTGCCAGCTGCCACACCTGAAGCCAAGCACGGCAGGGGGTGGGGGCCTTTTGGTAGCAAAAGAACTAAATTGGAAGCTGGTACAGGGTGGCCACCCACCTTGCTTCACTAGCCAAGGGAGGCAGAAAAAGTTGGTGTTTTTCTGGATACTTTTTCGCGGATACCGAAAAAGTGCCTTCCTTAGAAGCGCTGCCTCGCTACTTAAATCCTCAGGCAGTGAGGTTCAAGGATTGATTTTTGTAAAAAATGGATTTGTTTGAGAAGGACACGGCCAGCTAGAGTCAGAAGTGTGACGTGAGAGGAAATAGGGCAGCCACCGTCCGAGGCGGGGGCAGTACCCTGTGCTCCTGGCTGGGACACAACTGTGGGGACAAATGTGAGGTCAGAGGAGGGTGATGCGGCCTCATCTCACCTTTGTGCATTCCACACACAGTTCACAGGTACACACACACAGACACACACACACACACACACACACACACACACACACACACACACCACCTGCCACTCAACCTGCCTTCACCAAATTGCCCAGCTCCTGCCCAGCAGCTGGAGGCAGAAAGGGAGCTTCTGGGGCCCAGCTACATCTGGGGCTTCTGTTCAGGAAGCAGGAGCCTTGCCTCTCCCACGCTGGTGTTGAGAGGGCCCTTCCCTCGAGAGACATGACAGGCAGCCCAAGGCCAGCACCGAGTCCCTTAGGGTCAGAGGGAAAGGAGCGGGGCCAAGCCCAGAGCTGCCTTGTGTGTGGCTCCCAGGCCCATGCTGTGCGTGAGGGGATGCTCAGACCTGTGCTTAGTTCCCCCGGAGACTAGCTCCTGAACTGTCCTGAACAGCCCCCCTTGGGGGCACTGCAATGAACCCCCATAGCTTGCCGGCCTCACATCCTCACAAAGACTGTCTCCACCCCTCTTAAGGTGGTGCAAAAGTATGTGCACACCTCACAGCCACACACACAAACACAGACCAGCTATGTGCTTATCTCAACCACCAAACACAAACACTCGCCAGGGATGTGTGCACTGTGCGGCCACACACACACGCAGACACACACACACACACACAGATATACGTACACCTCACAACCAACAGACACATACCAGGTATGTGCATACTTAACAGCAACACACACCAGATATATGCATACCTTAATACCACACACACACACACACACACACACACACACACACACACAAATAACTCTGCAATCTTTTCACCAGCGATAGCACAGTGGTAGGGCGTTCGCCTTACAAGCGGCCAACGTGGCCGACCCGAGTTCGATTCCTCCGCCCCTCTCGGAGAGCCCGGCAAGCTATCGAGAGTATTCGATATGCCAAACACAGTAACAACAAAGTCTCCAATGGAGACGTTACTGGGCCCGCTCGAGCAAATCGATGATCAACGGGAGGGCCTTTACCTTTACCTTACCTTTTCACCACACAAGTCAAGTCTTGGTTTGCCTCTGAATTCCCAAGATATTCTTCTGGGCCACACCTTGAGAGACCAATGCTGGTGACGGGAACTGAGGCTGGGCTTGCAACACCCAAAAGGAGAGAGAGAACACAAGGGATTGCCCTGCCACAGAGGCAGGGTGGGATGGGAGGGATGGGGGTGGGAGGGATATTATCCATGGTGGTGGAAAATGGGCACTGGTGGAGGGATGGGTATTTGATCATTGTGTAATCGAAACCCAAGCACAAAAAATTGTAAATCTACAACTGTACCTCATGGTGTTTCACTAATAATAATAAAAAAAAAATTTAAAAAGTGACTTTCTGTGTACATGGAGGCTGCAAAGACACTTTTTTTTTTTTAAGAATAAGGGGTCAACCAAAAGGAGAGAGAGAACAAAAGGGAAAGGGAATGTCCTGCCACAGGGGTGGGGTGAGATGGGGGGGATGTTGGGGGAGGGATGGGAGGGATTCCAGGAGCATTGGAGGTGGGGAATGGGCACTGGTAGAGGGATGGGCACTTGATCATTGTATAACTGAAACCCAAGCACAAAAATTTATAAGTCTACAATTGTACCTCATAGTGTTTCACTAATTAAAAAAATAATAAAAAAATAAAATAAGGGGTCGATTTATTTTAAGTAAATTTATCATTAAATAGAAACATGTAATAATTCAGACATCTATAAATAGTGCGATTCATAGAAAATTAGTATGAGCTAAAAGTTATTTGGATAGTGAGATTCACAATTATTTACAGTTCACCCAATCATTGCAGAAACAATATTTCTAGAAATAATGTCCCCGTCCCCAAAAGTAGTTATTTCACAGAGCCATTCTTAAAATGTCATTAAAGTAGTAGCTGCATCAATAAAACCCAGCAAATTCAGTAATTTAGAGGTGACCACTAATTTCAAACAAAATGAATCCCCTTATACTATTTATACGTGTTCCCATTTTCACCATAGAAGAAAATAATTAAGAAGCAGTATATTCTTATTTGTAACAAACGGGAAGTTTTAAATATTTAAAATGACAACAAGAAAGTACAGTTGGACATTTTTACATCTGTCATATTAAATCTTGAAAATTAGTGGTTTCCACTCCTGGGAATATATCCCAGAGAGGCAAAAATGTATAGTCGAAGTGACATCTGCACTTGTTTGTTCATTGCAGCACTCTTTACAATAGCCAGAAACTGGAAGAAACCTGAATGCCCAAGAACAGATGACTGGTTAAAGAAACTTTGGTACATCTACACAATGGAGTACTATGTAGCTCTTAGAAAAGATGAAGTCATGAAATTTACATACAAGTGGTACAATATGGAAAGTATCATGCTAAGCGAAATGAGTCAGAAAGAGAGGGATAGACATAGAAAGATTGCATTCATCTGGGGGATATAAAGTAACAAAGTATGAGATTAATACACAAGAATAGCTGAGATCAGCACCAGGAGGATTACTCCATAACTTAGAGGCCAGCTGGGTATCCTAGAGGAAAGGGCTATTCAGATAGAGAAGGGAGCACCAAATAAAGGATGTTTGGAGGATCCTCCCAGGAGGGGAGATGCATGTCGAAAGTAGACTATGGACTGAACATGTTTGCCACTCAATGCCTCTTTTGCAGACCACAACACCCAAAAGGAGAGAGAGAACACAGGGGATTGCCCTGCCACAGAGACGGGGGGATGGGGGGATGGGGGTGGGAGGGATATTATCCATGGTGGTGGAAAATGGGCACTGGTGGAGGGATGGGTATCTGATCATTGTATAATTGAAACCAAAGCACAAAAAATTGTAAATCTACAACTTTAAAAAAAATAAAATAAAATAAAGGGGAAAAAAAAAAAAAAGAAAATTAGTGGTTTCATTGAAGGACATTCTAATGAAAAAAAATTTTAGTTATGGATTTTAGGATTTTTAGTTGTGATTATATAGCATTAAGTATCGATAATTTCCTGTCTTCCCGAACAGATTTTATAATTGCATATCAGCATTAGCCATATTTGAAAAGAGCACTCTTTTAAGTTTTTCTCAATTTAGAACTTTAGCTCTTTTGATATCCCCTCACGAGGATCACAAATGTATCTGAATGTACGTATATAGGACAGTGATTGTGTTTGGAATCAATATAACATATACTATATGTCCAGGTGTAAAGAGATGTTTAAGTCAATAAAACTCTACTAACTTATTCTTCGTTTCTTTCAAAAAGTGCAATCCTTCCCCAAACCCTGTATAAGGCATCATGTGTAAAGATTCAGAATGATGGTTTTTCTCCCAGTGTGTTCTCCCAGCTTAATAGTTTGTTTGTGCTAAAATTACAATTTGCGTGCACAGTTCTTCCCAGGTTTAGGAAAAAAGCCAACGAATAGTTTGTGTGAAATTGGTATGCTAGTTTTTGTCTATGCTCTACCCAAAACAGTTGCCACCCTCAAACTTTCTATCTTTCTCCTTTTTGTATTACTACCATTAACAACTAATCTTCTGATTTTTGACCTAATATGGCAGAAGGGATCTCCGTAAAGCCTTTATATTCCAGTAGAGACACCCAAGAATTACCTGAAGAACTTCCAGGAGCGAAGCCATTCACACGCGGACCGTACCCTACCATGTACACCTTCCAGCCCTAGACCATCCGCCAGTAGGCTAATTTCAGTAGTGTGGAAGAGAGAAATAAGTTTTATAAGGACAATATTAAGGGTAAGATTTTGACATTTGATATTTGTGATCAAACGTATACCTCCTTTTACTAGATTTTGTGAATGGAAGCTGGTTAATCACAATACAAACAAGTCACTTTTTAATTTTGTAATTGAGATTATACTCTAAAACACTCCTGGTCAAAAGATAGGTGAGACAGAATAAAGCACTAGATTCTTGAAAGCAAGCAACTCATTGCACGCACTGAAAAAGAAATTAGACTGAAGTGAAGAGACATCAATTTCGCCTAAACAGGGTTTTGTTTTTTTTCTTTTTGGGTCACACCCGGCGATGCTCAGGAGTTACTCCTGACTCTGCACTCAGGAATTACCCCTGGCGGTGCTCAGGGGACCATACGGGATGCTGGGAATCGAACCCAGGTTGGCCGCGTGCAAGGCAGATGCCCTACCCACTGTGCTATTGCTCCAGCCCTCTTGCCTAAACAGTTTTTAACTAATCATATTAGAGCAGGAATTGGTGGGGCAAAAATAGCTTAAATAATATCACCCTCCCAGTGACAAATTATAATCATACGTTTCCAGTATGTTCACCACAAATTAATATTCATTCACTGAAAATTATATTAATTACTATTTTTCTTTTTGGTTTATAATGAAATATTATTTGAATGCTAAACTTTAAAATATCTAAGGTTATATTATTAACCACGGAGGACTGAATTTGTAGTGTAGCTATTTCATTTTCGCAAGTTTCACAATTCTACTTCTCTGAATGTTTAGTCAAAACATTTTTATAATCATATTAACTAAAGGAATACAAATAAGTAATAGCATGTAAGTGCTAAATTGTGTGAACTGTATATAAACAGCCAGAGTTTTTCTTGGAGATTGAAAATAATTCCTCAATAATTTTTAAGTTCAAAAGTTCCTCAGACAACTATGAGATCTAAGTGAGATGTTTTATTCATTTCATTCTAACGGTGAAGTCTGACCCTCTTACGAAGTGAAGTGTTTGGGTTTTTTTTTCTTTTTTGGCAAGGATTGAACCCAGGGCTTCATACTTAAAACGCATGAACACATGTGTTCTACCACTGCCCTGGAAGTGAAATATTTCATTTACATTAAGTTTGGCGTGTATGTATATCAAAGTATGCTATCGTAACAAACCAACACTCCTCGTAGGGTTAAAGCAAGATCGTTTACTTTGTGGTCAGACTTTAGTTCTGTTATTTTTCATTTAACCTTTAAGCTGGTCAGCAGGGATTATCAGTTGCCTTGGACTTAGCAACACATCGTGGCTACGATTCGGATAACCCTCGAGTTCGTGGTGATGTTGGAATGGCTGGAGTTGCTATCGACACTGTGGGAGATACCAAAATTCCCTTTGATGGAATTCCCTTGGGAAAAATGTCTGTTTCTATGACCGTGAATGGAGCTGTTATTCCAGTTCTTGCAACTCTTATAGTAACTGGAGAAGAGCAAGGCGTCCCTAAAGAGAAACCGACGGGTACAGTCCAGAAGGACATACTCAAGGAGGTTATGGTCAGAAATACTTATTTTTTCATTCCCGAACCATCTATGAAAATCGTTGCTGACATTTTCCAGTATACAGCAAAGGTATCCTCTGTCATACTATGGGTTGTTCTGCGTTCTTGGTAGAAATTTTTATAATGTACTGTAACCTAATTCGAACTTGACTGAATCTGAGTGAAAGTCACGACCAATGTCAGTCCCAGAAGCACTTGGTAGCTTTCTTTTGGCTGAGCACTGTCTTATACTGTGGATGCATTATGTATATACATGAGGGCTTACACTTTCAGAATTTATAGACTCCTACTGGGTGCCTTTATCCTAGAATTGTTGCGTACTTGTCATAGTGTTCTTGAAGTTTCTCAAATGAGTTTACAGAATTTCCTAGTGGTTGCTAAAACTTAAAATTTTTCCATAGTCTCACCAGTTTTTTTTATGATTTTATTAAACACTTATTTTTTTGCCTTTATTCTTTGTAGATATAGGAATTACAGAATATCTAATATGTAATGTTGAGACAGACAGGAAATGTGAACTATCTTCTTTTAAGCCACACATTAAAGAGAATTATAAAAATGCAAAATTACGAGTTTTTGATATAGCAAAGTATACTTCTTATAAAAAGTTACTTCCATGTTAGCATAATCTACATTTATTATTATTTCAAAATAAAATAACATATAAAATATTGACAGAAGTATCCAAATTGATAAAAAATTCCTTGGGGTCTTTAGTAGTTTTTAAGAGCTTAAAAGATTCTGAAGTGCTGGGCAATTAATACAACCAGTAAGGCACTTGATTTGCATATGACCAATGTTGGTTCAATACTGAGGATTAAATGTGGTCCTCCTAGCACTGCCAGGAGGTGATCCCTTATTCCTGAGCACAGAACCAGGAATAAGTCCTGAGCACAGCTGACATGGCTATGAAGTGAATTTTTTTCTATATGCAAATGGCTGCACTTTTATGAATTAGGTTTAAAAGTTAAATATATATATACAGGCATATTTTTATTTTAATTAAGATTTAATTGTTTGAGAATATAATCTGGATATTGAGTTATATATTTTACAATTAGCTTTACTTTCGATTTCTTATTGAGTGTAATCAACTTCTGGTTGTAACACATTTTAGATTGTCCTTTTACTGGGGAATTAGAATGAACTTTTATATGGAAATAGCAAAAATGAGAGCTGGGAGAAGACTCTGGGCTCATCTGATAGAGAAAATGTTTCACCCTAAGGACTCTAAATCTCTTCTTCTGAGAGCACATTATCAGACATCTGGATGGTCACTTACTGAGCAGGTATGTATTCAATTTAAATTTAGAATTTTAAAAGCGTTGTATCCTTGGGCTGGAGCTATAGCACAGTGGGTAGGGCGTTTGCCTTGTACGTGGTCGACCTGGGTTCAACTTCCAGAATCCCATATGGTCCCCTGAGCACCTCCAGGAGTAATTCCTGAGTGAAGAGCTGAGAGTAATCCTTGTGCATGGCTGGGTGTGGACCCCCCCCTCGCCCAAATTGTTGTATCCTTAATCTAAACAGAATAGATAAGTCTGGAAATGGATTAAGAAACTACTTGCTAATATTTGAAAATAATGGTTATTTTGAAGCTTGATACACACTTTTTTACGTGTTTAAACATATAAAATTAATGATGTTGTCTCCCTCTAGTGGCTAATAATAATTACTTAAATCTTAACTCACCCATAGTGTTCTTATACTGTTTTGAAAGTAAAAAGCAAATATATTTGATGGTGTAATGGTAAATAAGTAATCATTTAATATTAAAATAATTTTGTGTTAAAACTTAATATCAATTGCCTAATTGAAACTTTATTTCCTACAGTTATTTTGTCATGATTTTGTGCTCAAAAGCATGTATGCCAAGTAGCACTGTCCTCCCGTTGTTCATTGATTTGCTTGAGCGGGCACCAGTAACGTCTCCATTGTGAGACTTGTTACTGTTTTTGGCATTTCAAATATGCCACGGGGAGCTTGTCAGGCTCTGCTGTGCGGGCGGGATACTCTCTGTAGCTTGCCGGTCTCTCCGAGAGCGATGGAGTTGAATTATACATTTAAAAGTGAATCAATTGATTTTGATTTGATTCACTTTTGTTCAAATCACAGAATTAACTAGTCTTCAAATTTTTTGTTTCATGTTCAATTTTCAATATGTTTTAATGAATTAAAATGATATAATTTGTTTGCCTTGCACGTGGTCTACCTGGGTTTGATTCCTCCTCCCCTCTCGAAGAGCCCGGCAAGCTACCGAGAGTACCCTGCCCACACAGCAGAGCCTGGCAAGCTCCCCATGGTGTATTCAACATGCCAGAAACAATAACAACAAGTCTCACAATGGAGACGTTACTGGTGCCAGCTCGAGCAAATCGATGAACAACGGGAGGACGGTGCAGTTATACATTGAGCATCTATTTTGTACATATTGTGATACAAATAGGTATGAGATAATGATCCATGAGATGACTTGTCTTGTAATTAAACAGAAGTTGTCTTCTGTGACACACTTATAAAAGAATATTTAGACAATATAGAAGTAAACCACAAATGTTTTTATTTCAGAGACTTGCAAAGCAGTATTTTCGTGTTTAAGTGCAGACTTGACGCTTTGACGCCTATATCTAAGTCCTGCATGTTTGCTAACTTGGCCAAATTCGTTGCATATTTCGATGCATCACGTAGACCTTAGCAAAGCAGGCATGCCAATAGTGCTTAGTATTGTATCTCATGGCTACAGGACATACCAGCTGTTGGCCTGATTTTCTTTGTTGTTTTTTTCTAAATGTTTTAGGATCCTTACAATAACATTATCCGGACCAGAGTAGAAGCCATGGCAGCAGTGTTTGGAAGAACTCAGTCTTTGCACACAAATTCTTTTGATGAAGCTTTGGGTTTTCCAACTGTGGAAAGTGCTCGAATTGGCAGGAACACACAAATCATCATTCAGGAAGAATCTGGAATTCCCAAAGTGGCTGATCCTTGGGGAGGTTCATACATGATGGACTCTCTCACAAACGATGTTTATGATGCTGTTTTTCATCTTTGAAGCTTTGAAAATTTATAGGTGTAGAGGCCAAAGATTTCAATTAAAATTTAATTGTTAATTAATTTAATTTAATTGGGTGTGGACCCCCCCAAAAAAATTGTACAGTGTATAAGGACTTGCCCTGTAGGCAGTTGATCCTAGTTCCATCCCCTGCATCATAAATGGCCCTCTGAGTCCCACCAAGAATAACGCCTAAGCACAGACCAGGAGTAAGCCTGGAGTACTACTTGGTGTGGCCTACAAATTAAAAATCAACAGAACAATCCCCAAGATTTACAGGTCTATAATGTGTATAGGTCCTTACTTTACAAATCCAATTTTGTTGAGGTTTCTATCCAGAGTTAAAAAAAAAAAGCATTGCGTTTTCTAAAAACAGAAATATAAATGCATTTTACTTTTAGTGATTATCAATGTTGTGACATGAATTATATTTGGAAAATTCCTTTTCTCTTATACTTTATTTATTTATCTATTTATTTGGTTTTGGGGCCACACTGGTGGTGCTCAGGGCTTCTTTGTGGCTCTGTGTTCAGGGGTGAGTTACTCCTGGAAGTGTTCAAGGACCATGGGCAGTGCCAGAGATCAAATCAGGGTGAGCTGCATGCAAAGGAAACTCCTTATACATGGTACCATCTCACCAGCCCGTACTCTTATACTGAAGCCACTTACTATAGTTAGTTGCAGCTTACAGCTCATTTACCATAAATTATATTATATTGGTAAGGATAGAAATTCAGTTAATGCTAATGAAGTATTTTTCTTTCCTTTTTTTTCAGTTTGGTTTTGTTTGGGGGGCCACGCCCAGTGGTAATCCGTGGCTTTTCTGACTCTGGTTCACACTCTGTGGTGCTCAAGTTCTCACTTTGTGCAAGGCAAGTGGCCTTGAGGGAACTGTTAACCTGTGTACTATTTCTTTTTTAAGTATAAATTTTCTGCCCCACCTCCATATATGGGCTGGAGCGATAGCACAGTGGGTAGGGCGTTTGCCTTGCACATAGCCAACACGGTGGACCCAGTTCGATTCCTCCGCCCCTCTCGGAGAGCCCAGCAAGCTACCGAGAGTATCTCGCCCACACAGCAAAGCCTGGCAAGCCACCCGTGATGTATTCAGTATGCCAAACACAGTAACAACAAAGTCTCAAAATGGAGACATTACTGGGCCCTCTCGAGAAAATCGATGAACAATGGGAGGACAGTGACAGTGACAGTGACCTTCGTATATAAACCATAAGATTTTAATGACCTCTAAAGTTCCATATTTAGATTTCTTACAGGTTTTCGGAAGTTAGACTTAATTCGATTTTAGATAACTTGGTTTAGGCAGGTTGTTAGCTAAAAAAAGTAGAGCAAAGTCCTGAGGGATAAAAGCTTTATCATTGCTTTTCACGGTCTTTATCTCAATATTGCTCATCTTTTCTCTTTTCTCTTGCTCTTGGAATTATTTTTAAATACAAAAACATAGCTTTAGGCATGTTATTACCTATATATTATTTCATAGCTAAAGTGAACATTGGATATAACTTAATTTTTTTTATTTGTCTCTAGTAATCCTTAGTGTGTTTTCAAAGTTTTCCATCTACAAGATTGATTTGTTTCAGTGACTTGCCATATTAGAACAGCTGTAAAAACAGTCAACCCTCCTTCTCCCCCAGTGAAAGTAAAAAAGTCTTATCTTTCCATGGCTACCGGGACTGTTAGATGTGACTTTCGTCTGCCATACTTTTCTAGGCTGTGTCCCAATGTCTTTTCTAGTTTCAGAACCTCAAGTTGCTTCCTTCTTACTCCTCAGAGTCTTTGCTTTTACTGTTTCCTTTTTCAGACACTCCCTGCTGTGTTCCCGTGGAGTTCTGCGTCCCATCCCTTTAGGACTTTGTTCAAAAGTTGCGTCTTTCTCTTTAATACCTCTCATGTAGCTTTGCAGAGGGCCTGAGAGATGACTTAGTGGCTTAAAGTGCTGCCCAGAAAACACAAGGTTATGGGTTCAAACACCGGTGCTGCCTTGGGCATTTCTGGCAGCTTTGCTGTTAGGGATCCCCAGTGAGAAAGAGCCCAGCTGCTGA